AGTTAAAACCAAGAAAATTGGTTGGGAAGTAACTTGGGGCAACGTTATTTGAAATTTTCAAATTTGTCAGCTAGACCAACTTTTCAGCAAGCTTACAGGAACCTGTTGAAAAGTACCAAAATTAAAATTTACAAAGTTAGAGTTGAAAATCCCCAGGTCTTTTAAGGTCTTAAATAACCTCAAAAAATAAATAAACGAAGAGTCCCTCTCCCCACTTCAACAAAACTACAGAAACCCTGAGGGCCACTGAAGTTTACTCAACAACCCAATCTGCAAAATTGATGAGATTTCAATTGGTCGGAGTGGAACAATTGCTGGTCTATTAACACCTGTTGTGTACATTAAAGCCTCTTCTACTTAAAAAAACACCAAAATAAAGAACCTCTGTCCCCATAATGGACAAATTGTCACAAAAGTACAAATTGATGAGATTTCTAGAACAATAATAAAAAATAAGATATTTCTATTTTTATTTTACTTCTAAGATTTTTTTTTGCAATTTTTAAAGATTAAGTTGTGGTTCAGTTTCAGAATAGATCTGCATTCTAATTCAGGAATCATTTCCAGTATCTTTAACCTTCTCCCTGCTACCTAACCTGTAACCAATGCCAATTTGGTGATAAAAGTCTACTTAAACACACTCAGTCACTCACTGTTAGTGCTGCATACCGGTTCACTGGACTTGGATCCGGACTTGTAAGAATGTTTAGGTTCAAGTCCAAAAAAACCTAAAAGTCAAGAACCAAGTCTGGACTTATTACCATAAAAGACCATTTCACATACCCCTTTTCTTTCCAAACCACCTAAAACCTGCTGTAGATTGCTAAATCTTTGCTGCAAAATGAAGAAAACATTGCCATCGGGCATCGTCAAGCACCGGCCTCCATGTCATGTGGCCAAAGTTTCACCCAGAGAACATTGCAAGGTTGCCAACATGCAATTTTGTACATGTATATGCCATGGGTTTAGGTTCGAACTTACAAGTCCGGAACTGGACCTGAACCTCTGGACTTGAATCCGTACCTGAACCTAAAATTGGGTTTAGGTATGCAGCACTACTCACTGTCCGGTTTATCGTCTGTCGTTCCCCGTCTTCCGAGGGTTAGACGTGCTTGCACTGCAATACTGAGAGGGTTAATCACCATGAGACAGTTGAGACACCCTCCAGTTGAAGTGGGGGACTGATAGAAAACAATACAATTTTCCACCCTATATCTGCTTGGAGATTGGCACATGGACTGGGCATACAGTTTCAAGGCCATGTATGATATATACCTACACTCACTTCAGTCACTTAATATTGAGGACTACTGTCTGCCTTTATGAATAAATGATATGAAAATCACCATTTCTACAGCATTGAAAGCAATTTAATTGTATACAACCATATACCAGTATGAATTATCATAAAGACTATTGATTGATTGACCAATGACAGTCGCTCTTCAAAGACAGGAAAAATGGGTCACATCCCTAAAGAATGGCCAAAACTAAATCTAAAAATGAAATCTCCAACAATATCATCATTTATCAGAGATTCAAATGGTTAAATCTCACAGTTAATTCAAAACAGCAATGTTTAACTTATATTTTCAGAAATAGCTCTATTTGACATGATATAAATCATTCTAACGTCCTCAATGCTACAACTTGCTGCCTAACCCCATAACCAATACACTTTTGGTGCCAAACGGCTACCTTAGCAGGCTGAAGGTTAATCACAAGAGGATGATATGAAATAAAATTGAGTAAATTAACCAGAGGCAGCAGCAAACAACAGGACCTACCTGTAGCAGTGGAGCCGGCTTGTCTGGAGGACTCCGAACGAAATCAATCACCACCTATCTATGCCCAATCCTGACACTGCAATGACTTCAAAGTGTAGCCTCCGTAGCAGGCTTATAGAACTGGGGGTTTGGTGGTCTTCGGCTGTTTTCTGATTAGCCCAGTTAAAGAAATACGGGGGTAATTCAACCAGGCCGGCTATGTTGTCTATATGCAATCAGAAAATAGCACATTAAAAGCTCCCAAAGACCCTGAAGACCCCTCAAAACCCCCCAGTTTTTGGCATGCTATGGAGGCTATTCAAAGTGCCCCGGACGCCCCCTCAAGATAGAAAATAGACTGGGGAGGCCCAATAAAGCAGCCCTGCCCTGGCTTACTGACCTGCATTGGGCCAAAACGGAAACACCGACAATCCGACATGTAGAGTCAGAATACTGGGAGCAGGGCTCCAAATTCTCCCAGCATTCTGACTCACAGAAAAAAATGAGTGCACAGCTCAAATTTTGGGTGGACTAAAACAAACTTAATGTCTTCCAAAATAAATGTCTGCGTAGAATACTAAAAATCTTCTGGCCAAAAACGATCTCCAATAGAAATCTCCATCTAAAAACAAGACTCATGACAATAGACCAAATGTTGATAAACAGACGATGGAGATGGTTAGGCCACATATGCCGCATGCCACCACATAGTATAACCAGAACAGCTCTAAGATGGACGCCTCTGGGCAGGAGACCTAGAGGACGACCGAAGGAAACAAGGAGAAGAACCATCGACAAAGAAGTACGGAGCCATGGTTTCACTCTCGATGAGGCACCAAAGATGGCAGCGGACCGGGCCAGATGGAAGAGCTACCTTCTGCCTTAAGAGCCATGCTGGCTCAGAAGAGGACTAAGTAAGGTGGACATGACTGGTGCAATGGCCAAGTGGGTAGAGTGCTCGCCTTACATTCGGTAAGTCTCGAGTTCCATCCCCGGCCGAGTCATACCAAAGACTTTAAAAAGTGGTACATACAGCTTTCTCTGCTTAGCTCTCAGCATTTGAGATGGAGTATGGGAGTGAAACACACACCACTACCAGTGGACTAGCCCCCTGCTGTAGTGATTGCACGACTGTGTGACCCAAGGGCTACAGAAACGGAGATGGGCACCGCCATGTGCAAAGATGCTAATGGTTGCTGGGTGGATTTTAACTTTCTAAAAAGGTGCACATACACACAGTATTTCGAGCCCTGTGGAGGGTGTTGTCAGCCAGCCGGGCGAAGTATGGAAGACCTCACAGTCTGACGAGTTAACAGGGCTTTGATCCCATTTTTGTAGGACCTGACTGATGCAGGATTACATGGCAGGAACGGTTTAATGGACTTTCCTCCAGCAGCTACGCACAACTGTTTTGTGACCCCACCGGGGTTGGTTGAATTCTGAATTGAAGTGTTTTGCTACTGTAACAGACATGCACGTTAAGCGAATTCTCACTAGGGTTAAAACTTATAATTAGGCCACACCAATTTAATTTGTTGGTTCTCGGATTCACCTCTTCATTTTTTTCTGATTTGCAAAAAAAAAAGATTCTGGTTCTGACTCAACTCAAACATGCTCATATTTTGCTCCCAACAGTTGAGGAAAGTCTTCCTAGATGTTACACTTTTTTCATCTATCAATGCAGTGGTTTGATTAAAAGTTCAAAACTCATTGGTTAAAGTAACCCAGCCTTTTGTGTTGACTTCATGGCTCCTATCAAGGCATTTGGGGCTATAATAGGATGCCTAGACCTGTTTTTATTTTTTTGCCCTGTCTATTAATACTTTTTCTGAAAAAAAAAAAGCCGAGAACCAACAGATTAAAATGGTCATATTTTGTTTTAGCAAAGATGATGGTAATGTTTCTAGGCATGCCCACAGCTGAAGGTAGCTTGGTATGCCCTCTAGAGGATTCTTCTTGAACTGCAAGAATACCATGAATGACAATGAAGGATCCTTCAAGCTTAAATCAGTTGTCCCTCAAGCTGCTATTATAATAGCCACAAAAAACCATCAAGACAAGAAAACCTGTAAAGTACAGTGTTTATGTCAGCTCGATAAGTAGGTAAAATGTATATAAATATAAAAACTATATGTCCAATTAAAATAGTAGTGGCCTACATGTACTGTTTGAGAATGGCAAGGCCACTCCTATTCATGTAAATGTTCTGACACCCCTATATCAAAGTTTGACACTCCTACATTCCAACGTAAGCTTAGCTTGTCATAACATACAAGTAAGGGTATACTATTATATATATATTGGAACATTATAGTACATGTAGTAGGGGCGTAACAGAGCTTGACATATGACTACAGGAAACTACAGATCAGCATGTAACCTATAATTTAATCCCTCTTCATAGGAGCTTAGTTATATTATCCCATACTTGTACTTGTACATGGGTGGTCTGCATGATAGGAGCACATGACCCTTAATACTATCATAACAAATTTCTGTCATACTTGGCTTATATTTACAATATTAGCTTATTATGACAAGCATGTTCAATCATGCTGCAACTTTGTACTTTGATGAAATTCGTCAGCTTGTATGTCTTATGTCTTGTATGTATTGACCCTCACTTTGTCAAGGCCACTTATAGAACCAAAGACACACAATATTATCAGCCTGTGCCTGTGTTTTGGCAAAGTATCCTACTGAGATACGTTGGTTACAGATTATTATGACAAGCCGTCATGTTTGACCATGTTAAACTTTGATGAAATTCTTCTGTTTGTAAGTGTATGTGCAAGGATTAACCGTCACAATGTTAAGGTTGGCTAGAACAAGGTTTTATGTTGTGCCACTGACAGTGGATGCATCAGCAGTTGTGCACACTTTTGTGTTGGCTGACCCTCCACCGTGTCAACAATGGTTATGAGTATCCAATATATTTTTATGTTTACGGAAGGAAAACATATTGTTTCTGCTCTGTTTCCTCTTCTTCTTCTTCTCCAAACCAATAAGGGTCAATGACCTGAACCAGATGTCTGTCACCATAGTAACTGATGTTGGGTTACATCATGTTGCAATTTTATAGACCCTGTCAGTCCCTACACCTGAGTGAGGAGGGTTGACACAGTGGCCGTTGCGTTGATTTGTTTAAGGTGGATAACAGGTTGCGAATCTGAGACACACACACTTAAGCTAAAATGAATATAAATAAAAGCAGGTACTATGTGATCAACTCACCTGTCAGGACCTGTCCACAGCCACTGTCAGCAGCCAGCCCAGATTTCTCTACATCTTCTCCTGTCAGCCTTCTTCTTCCTCCTCATTTTCCTCCATTCTCTCTTGTTAGTGTCGCATCACACTATTTAGAAAGACGCACACAATGTTAAAATTAATATTACTAATACATTACACTGTTATACAGTACCAAAATGAAAAGAAAAAAACATTCCTTACAATCATCAACTCAAGCTTGGCTTCATGTATGTACTGAAAATACTTCAGCTACAAATTCTTCCTATTCACCAAGCTTGAGAAAAATATCAATTTAAAGGTTTACGTGCATCTCAAGCAGTAACTTGAATAACATGAGCAAGATGTTATGACGTCAACATTATCAACGTGAACTAAAAGCGCCCCATAGCAGCTGATAGAAAAACTGCACCCAAGGAATTTTAAAGCAGAAAGGCAATACTATTTCAAGGGACAAACAAATCATTATTATTCATCATTAACGTTGGTATTAAAAACAGTTACGTGTAGCTGCAGACAATCAAGACACACCCAGATTGCACAAGATTTTTTCAGGCTTGTTTGTCAGACTCCGGTACAGAACAGCTACGCTGAGCTCGTATCAGAGAGGCACAACTGCAGCAGGAAAACCGAGGAAAGATCGTCATGACTTCAAAGCCCTGGTGTGAGTGAGGAACTGAAGATATTCTGACTGGCTTGCAAGGTAAGTTGTGGTTGAACATTCAGGTAAGAATCTAGTATCACATACATGGAAGGAGAGGCTGGAATAGAAGATAAATAACTGTAAGAGATATTGGTTATTATGCACGATTTTTGTTGGACAGGTTTAGATGTAGCAAAAGGTTTTTACATCATCTAAATATGAGAAAATTCATCCTTTTCTTCCCAAAGAAAGAACAAAATTTAATGCTATGGCACGGTTGTGTTTCTAAGCCTTAGGTGTGTGACCCTGACCTCTCCACGTTGATGTATTGTATTGTTGTAATGTGCGTGTAAATGTTTGTCTTGTCAGCAGGGCAAGCTCTTAATAATAGCCGCCTGGCTAGTTAGGCTGCCCTGGCTGTACAATTGGTCTTTTTACAGCTAAACAAATAAATTTTAAAGAAAAAAGATTGTGATTCTAATGAATTTCAAAAATTGTGTCCATACGAATTAGGCACAACATGGAAGTACTCAATGCATTCACATAAAAAGACCGCAAATATTTGCTTTTTCTGCTTATTTTCAAGCCTGAAAATGTAAAATTTGTCTTAACAACAGACACGTCAGCAAAATGCACCTGATCTCAGAGTAAACAACCTGCTAAACATTAATATTCAAACAGCGTAAATCAGACAATCAACCAACTGTAAATGTACATGTATGTTACAATTAAATGTAAGGTGGATGATCGCTTTTCATGGCTTCACCACTACATGTATGTGGTGAAGTGTATATTGTTTTTGCTCACTTTTCTTCTCCTCCTTCTTCTCCTTCTCCTGCCATCTCTTTAAATTGTTTCAACTCCTTCATTTTTGGGCCAAATAACATGAAATTTGGCACAAAGGTAGAGAGGGCAAATACCCCCAGACATTTTTTTTTTTGTGTCATTTTTGTGATACAGGCTTTTAGAATGGTTTTATTTGAGCTTTTTGGCTGTGTTATAGAAAATGTATTATTAACTAGAAAGGCCGACATTTGCTTTGGAGCAAATGTAGGGGATGGCTTCACCACATTTTACGACATGGCAGGGAAAGAAGGAGAAACACAAGGGAAAACAACTCTCTACATTTGATATAATAAATATTATAGTATGAAGTGACAACAGTGGGATAGCTATCCCCTACATTATTGGTTAGGATTTTTTCTACATGTATGTACTGAATATACTTCAGCTACCAGCAAATTTGACAGAAATTACCAGTAGTGTGGGCCTTGGCTGGAGTCTGGATTCCAGGTTAAAAAGTTCATGTTACATGAGTTACACCTAGAAATCTTTGCACAATGTTGGCATCACTTGTACATGGAGACCTCCCTGTTCTGATACATGCAGATGTACGAGTCACACAACAGTCTGCGGACGTGTTCGGGCAGTTCTCGGTCCGTCTGCTTGGTGACCGCCTCCTCATCCTCCAGCCACTGCTTCAGGTCGTGGATCTCACTCACCTCCGGAACGTTGTAACCATTCTGCTCACCTGGGGAAAAAAAACATAACTGGTTACCATGGTGACAGACGTCTGGTTCAGGTCATGGATCTCACTCACCTCAGGCAGGTTGTAACCATTCTGCTCACCTGGGGAAAACATATATTTTTTGTTATCAAGAGTGTCCTGGGAGAGTAGCTATCTTTGCTTTTGGCCCTAGCCATCACCTGTTTTTCTGTCAATTACAGGAACTTTGTGGCGTGTGATGGAAAATTTTTTGGCCAATTTGTCAACCTTGACAGACAAAATTGATAGAAGTCTTGGGGAAAAAAAGCATCCAAAGGACAAACAACAACCAGTCTTAACCCCATGATTTACCTCTAAAAATGTGGGAAAATGCATGTTTAAAGAAATGAATGAACAGTACATGGATTCCTTAGTGTCTAATTATTTGGGGCACCACAGATAATCTGACAACCAATTTTCTGTCCATTCTCTAATATTTTCCTTCCATCTAGGACTACAGTACAAGTACATGAAGTTGTAATACTTGTATTTGAAATGTTGACCAGCCTAATCTCCAAGCAGATTATACGGTGGCAAGGCAGTATCCATTGGCCAGAGGAGTGTCCATTAGTGGCTGTGCAAACTCCTCTGGCTAATAGATACTGTCTTGCCACTGAAAGGGATCTGCTTAGAGATTAGACCAGCCATCTCGCTCACCTATTCTGTCTGCCATGCTGTCGAAGAAGACCCACGGGGCGTCCGCTTCATTTCCGCACTTTACAAACGCGACATAATGACTGGTCTGTATGCAGACAACAGCGAACAGGTCCATTGTCATGCGCGGCACGGGGAACCCGTTCTGGTCGTGTCTCCTTCTGAAGGACTCAGGAACACCGATGGGCGTCGGCTTGTGCCCTCGACGCTTCTTATGGCTCTGGAATATTAATAATAAAGGGTTTTAGAACATTTGGCAGACCAAGGGAAGAATGCCAAAAATCATATCCAGTTGCTTGAGTAACTGTTTTTTTTGCATGTCTTATTACCTGGATGTCTAACCTTCACCGACAAAGAATTACATGCTCCGTGCATTGTAAAAAAAGATATACATACATCTACACATTAACAGGTCTAACATCATACTTAATTGGTTAAAATCACAGACATATTCATGAAATGATTAAAAGCTCTGTCTTTCCACCTGCTCCCTCTAAAGGATGAAAACCTGCACAAAGATTAAAAACTTAGGTTTTAGAGATGAAGTTGCAATCTACAGTAATGATTGTATTCTATATTTTACAGGTTAGAAACATCTTTTAAGCTTAACTACCACTTAAGCTTAAGCTTAAGTATTACTCTCGGACTGGTATCAATTCCTAAACTACGTTAGACTCCTATATCAGCTATAACTAGAAAGGCCGACATTTGCTTTGGAGCAAATACAGCAATGGCTTCACCACATTTTACGACATGGCAGGGAAAGAATGAGAAACACAAGGGAAAACAATGCTTTACATTGATATAACTATAGTATGAAGTAACATACAACTAAGACTACAACAGTTGGATAGCTATTCCCTACATTATTGGTTAGGATTTTTAATTGCATAATGCAAACTGTTGATTTTCAAGAAAAAAAGAAGTGTTCATGCCCCGCATTCCAATGCTGGAGCAGGAAAGCTTGAAATACCTACCAAAACACTTGAATACAGACATACTGTCAGTATGGAATGGATCTGAGCAGGTATTAATTAAGTTAAGCCTGTTAAATTCCAACAGCCAATCAGCAAGGAGAATAGAGGAAAGCTGCATGCCTATTGGTTGATGCCCTGCATTCCATTGTGATGACTCATGTCCAAATGTGGTAACACTGCACACTAACTCAGTAATACATTTGCTATAACACAGCCAAAAAACTCAAATAAAACTATTCTAAAAGCCTGTATCACAAAAATTTAAAAAACGCCTAGGGGTATTTGCCCACTGTATATCCATACCAAATTTCAGGACCTTAGGCCCTAAAATGAAGAAGCTGAATCCATTTAAAAAATGGCAGGAGAAGGAGAAGGAGAAGGAGAAGAAACATCAGAAAAAGCAATATGGGTTCACCACCACTTCGTGGTGTGGTGAACCCATAACAAGTGACCCATACCTGCAGGTTACAGATGTTACAGTAGGTGACGATGTGGCTGGTGTTGTTCTGGAAGAACACCTTCTCCATGTAGCAGTCCTTACACTCCACCTCCCCACAACTGCCACACATGGTGCATTCACGGGGAACTGTAGCGGACAGAGTAACAACTTCAGAAAAGAACAGAGTTACATGTACCAACCCACAATTGAGTTGTTAGAATTCTTTTTCTCCAGAGCTGCCACACATGGAGCACTCTTGGGGAACTGTGGCGGACAGGGGACAAAATAACAGCTTCAGAAAAGAACAGGAAACAGCCAAGTACCAGAGTTACATGTATCCAACCACGATTAAGGTGTTCAATTTTTTTTTCGGGCATGGGACAGAATACCGGCTTAGAAAAGAGCAAGAAATGGTCATGCCTTTAAGTACCAGCGTTGAGGATTGAGGTGTTCACTAGAACTATCATAGCAGTTATATTAGCTACATGGATACAGATAGAAAATAATGTCATTGAACAAACAACTAAGAACAGAAACACACACAGAAAAAGAACAGAAACACAGATCAGTAAATCAATTCAACATACAGTAGATTTCTTAGCTACACAACCTTTTTTTATGTCTACCTCATTTTTCTCTGCCTGTAGAGAGAAAAATAACGTTGTTTACCTAAGAAAACTATGTTGAATGTTGAACAAATTGTTATCAACATTACTGAACAAGTCTGTCTGTTCCCCTCACCATTCTCAAGCAGATCAGTGATGTCCAGAGTCAGACTGGGGATGATCCGGTCATAGATTTTGAAGTCTCTGCCAAACCGTGGCATCTGGACTAGCAAGCAGCTCGGCATCTGTGGCACAGATAGAATCATACATTTCAACATTCATTTCCATCATTGTATCTAATTCTATCACTCATTTCAGTGCTTGAACTCATCCTTACATCAGTCACACGGAGCATACAAATTTTGCCATAATTAAGATTTTTCTTTTATCTTTAGCAAGGCTGTGACAGAACAGTCTTTTTTCCATTAGATAACGTACAGTCACTTGGATTTATGGGCCAGACCATTGATTTTACAATACTATATATGTAGGAATATTGTACACAATACAAAAGCAAACACACAAACTGTAACAAGGCTCTACAATAACCTTCTCTCCTACAAGACATGGATGAATGTAAGAACTATGTTTTTATCTTATAGTTTATAGAACTATTTCTGTTGCTGCCCACCACACAACATTTGAATGTTGTACCTCTGTGATTTTGATATCTGTGGCCAGACATGACTGCTCCAGTAGCTGCTGTACTGTGGGGACCAACACCTTCTCATCCTTCTCCACAAACAACTGGTAGAAATAACACTCTTCCTGCCTGTTGTTTCCAGATCTACAGAGGCAAAACAGGTATATTCATCAGCCAAATAAGAAATCAAACCCCTCAGTAATGTATATAAAACACCACATAGACCCTACATACTGTGTGTTTCCTTGCAATTAGTCTCTGGGCATGAGTTTGCAAATAAGTCTTCCTTGTGGGACTAACAATGTACTTACCTAATCTTGAGGAAGGGGTCTGCCTTGAAGACATCTTTGAGCATTGTCGTAAGAAACTCTTCTGGATCTGTGGAAATAAAAGGAACTCTTTAATCACTGGATGAAGAAACCTTTAACTGTTTCAATAGTTGAAACAAAAGATTTTATTATCATTGAATCACCATGGAAACTTATCCAGAAAATATGGAACAGTATACAAAGAATGTTCAGCATTTTTGTGCCCCAAGTGATTGAAGCTGAAAGCTTCTTTCCTAGAACTAGTCATCACTATGGAACAAGCTTCCCTGTGAACTCTTCCCAAATGGTACAATCTTAAAATTTTTAAGTCTAGGGTGAACGAACATCTGTCTCAACAGTTCCTTAATGTAACCCAAAACTTGTAGTGGTTCGTATGAGCATTGTTTTGAGGTGACAATTGAAGTAGATGAAAAAAAAGTGTGCTGTAAGAACGACACTCACCCTTCTCCTCAGACAGGAGCCCAGGGATGGATCCCAGCTGGTCCAGTAGAGTTCGTAGCTTCAGGGTCTGGTCCGCTCGCACAAACCCTTCACTGTACAATGTAAAATCTTTCTTTATTTGCAATAAATAAGAAAAAGACATAGAGCCCAGGTCATGTCAGCCATAACTGACAGAGCATGCAGGGAAACATTAGAC